ATAAGAAATATGAATTAGGCAGACAAGATGGCGCATGCCTGTAATCCCAGTGTCTAAGGCAGGAGGATCGCAGGTTCAAAGCCAGCCTCAGCAATTTAGTGAGGCCTAAGCAACTTAGGGAGACTGTGTCTCAAAATAAAAATGGCTGGGGATATGGCTCAGTGGTTAAGCACCTCTGGTACAAAAAAGAAAAGAAATGTTGAATTACTTTATCTCCCCTTTGTTAAACAAAATTGCTATTGCCAAGATTGGTATTCTAATAGGCATTAGAATGAGGAGAGAGAATATGGGAACACAGGTATAAGGGCTGTTGTTCAATAACATAAAACCAAATTTCTATATATAAAAAGTATGAGACATAGGTGGAAGCTAAAAAAAAAAGGTTGATCTCATAGAAATAGTAGAATAATGGTTACTAGAAGCTGGGAAAGAGGAAGGGAAGCAGGGACAGAGAGAGATTGTTAACAGGTACAGGGGTACATTTAGATAGGATAAAATAACTTATAATGTTTCTGTAGCAGAGTGGGGTAACTCTGGTTGGTAATTAATTGTATATTTAAAATACAGTGAGGAGAAAGGATTTTGAATGTTTCTAACACAAAGAAATAAGTATCTGAAGTGTTGGATGTGTCAATTACCCTAATCTGATCATTAAACATTGTATACAAGTATTGAAATGTCATATTCTATCCCAGAAGTATATACAATTACCATGTATGAATTTAAAATAAATATTTTAAAAGTGTAAATATTTAAGATGGTAGATATATCAATTACCCAGATATGATCATTATATATTATGCATGTATCAAAATATCACTCTATACCCTTCAATTATGTATTATTATGTGCTGATTAAAAATATTTTTAAGAATAATGTGTGAGAAATAGCACTCAAATTTATTAGAGGGGTTCTAATTAGCCCTCATATCTCGGGCTAAGACTCATAGCCCCAAGACTGCTCACAAGATGGAATTAGAGATCCCTACCCCCAATTACCCTAAAGAAAGAAAATTCCCCTAGGGTTCAAAAAAAAATTCCCAGGGTTGAAGATTTGTTTAATGGTTTGCCAGGCTTCTTTGTTTGTTTGAGGTGGCCCAATGACAATGACTTTTTAGAAGAGATGAGAAACAGACTGATATTATAGATAGCACTTATTGTACATCTGTTATGTCCCAGAACTGTCCAGAGCAGGTTTAAAGCCAGCCTCAGCAACTTAGTGAGTACCTGAGTAACTTAGTGAGACCTTGTCTCAAAAATAAAAAGGGCTGAGGATAAACTAATTCAACAATCCTTCCTTCCTTCCTTCCTTCCTTCCTTCCTTCCTTCCTTCCTTCCTCCCTTCCTCCCTCCCTTCCTTCCTTCCTTCCTTTCTTCCTTTCGTTGTTTTTTGTACCAGGGATTGAACTCAGGTGTGCTTAACCGCTGGGCCACATCCCCAGCCCAGAGCTAATGTACTAATTCTCTTACTCCTCACAGCAACTCAATGAGATATGCTCTTTTAGTATACCTATGTTCTATCTAGATGCTGAAACAGACATAAAGAGCCTGAGCAACTTATTTAAGGTCACATACCTACTCAAATCTTGGATGCTTGGTTTCAGAAGCCATTTGGAATATCTAAGGAAGCAGAAGAGAATGTAAAATCTAACCCAGCTCAGTCTTAGATCTTTTTTCACATGAAAAGAACAACTCCATCAAGCTGAGTCCTCAAATTTAGGATTATTTGAGGTTTGCATTTAGCTAGGCCTACAGGAAGTTAACCCTCTTCACCAAACAAGCCAGATAGTGTATTCTGCTGCAGACCGCAAGGTAGGATTCCTAGGCAAAAGTACAGCAATTGCTCCTGATAATTCTCAGAATATGTGTAGTTTAAGGCACAGATTTCTGGGGCAGCACACAATTATTTTCTTATCTTTGATGACACAAGAGGGATTTGGGACAGAAAGAAGAGATTTGGGAGGATCTGACACAGAATTCCAAGAGCCTCAGCACTGTTAGATAGTTCATTCAATCATTCTGCAAATATCTGTTGAGCTCCTGCTACATGCCAGGCATCACCTCCTTTTCTTGGTGTGTGACTCTGTGAAAACATCCATTATCAGGTTCCTAGGAATTCAGTACCTCTGTGGGCTCAGGAACTTTCATAGCAGTTCATCCACCTTTCTTTCCTGGCAACTAGCAGCCTAGACTGGAGGGGCCCCCAATGTACACGGGGCTGTCTTTGTTCAATAACGCTTGGAAGCACAAGTGAGCTCTGTATTACCGCCCTTTTCCACAGGGGTGGCTGGAGGGCCTGGAAGCTACTAGTTCCAGCCTGCAGAGCCACGGGGACAGACCCAAAGCACCAGCCATGAGCTTTGTTCCTCAAGCCCCTGGAGAAAACCTTTGATTTCATGGGGATGATTATTTTTATTCTTGCCCACTCAAGGATGAAGCCCAAGGAACAAGAGCTTGCCCCTTTCAGAGGCATCACAATGGCTTACCTCCAGCCAAACCCACTGGTTTTTGTTTTTTGTTATTTCTGGGTTTGGTTGGGCCTCTCTTGGAAACCATTACTATACAACTTACTTAAAGAAAGAGTGGAGGGATTGGGCATAAGAGACTCAGACAGAGGGGGAAAGCTGGTGGGGGTCTGAAACAGAGAGGCTGAAAGTAGCGTTTTGAGAAAATGCAGAAAGAACACATTAAAGTCACAATGTGATTTGAATCAATTCCATTTTGTAGTGACATTTTTAATCTTTTGCAAAGTCAAACTATTCCAAGTTTGACTTTTGGCCAAGACTATAGAATTGTGTCTTGGGACTTCGAAGGAAGGTTTCTGAAAAACACAAAACACACACACACACACACACACACACACACACACACACGAAAGAGAGAAAGGGGAGGGAGACTTTTATCCTAAAGTCATTGTAAATCCAAAGCAGGGTTTTATCCTCCACAGTTAAATGAGAAAGAAAAAAAAATCAAGAATACCAACATTTGAGGTACAAAGACTGTCATGGACCAGTGGAAGTTTGCAAAATTATATGTAAATGACCAAAGTTTTTACTGTGGTGGCCCTGTGCATTCCCAAAGCTAATCCCAAAGAGAAAATCTACTTAGCAAAAGAAAGTTTTGTCTAATTTGGTTAACAGTTGAGAAGTGACAAAAATGCTGAATATATTAATAATTTATATTTCCAGGGTAACACTATATCTTTAATGCTTCACTGCCGAAGGGAATTCAGATTGGCTTAATGCTTAGAGGGGAAAAGAAAACCTGAAAGACCTTCTTCATATTCTGTATCCAGCCCTGGTGAAAATGGGTGTAAGACATGTGTTCGAATAATGGGCACCATCCATTCTCCCATTTGTGCATAATTTGTTTTTATCCCATGTTGCCCCATGTATATCCGTTATCCAGGAAACCCGCTGACCTCACTCTTCTAGGCTCCAGCTCTATCAGTTCATAAGGAAAGTGGTAACTCACATTTCATAGATATTTCAAGAATCCTTTACAAGCAAGATGCTTTTTTGATATTCTTAGATTTCCTCCCCCTTAAAACATATATACAATAAGTTTCATTTTATGGACAATGAAATGAAGGTGTTTTTTTTCCCTTCCTATCTATATAATGCAGTTTGATGGTTTACAAATGTCATCCCACTCCATGACCTCTGTAAACAGGCCAGGTCAGAGCTCTCTTAAACCCTGTCCAGAGAAAAGAAATAAGTTAATTTACAGTCCTGGATAATCTGGGAGAAGGCAAATCACTTCACTAGTTTTCTGTTAAATGCCTCTGGACACAGAGGAAAAAGATACTACACAGTTTCAGATTATTTATTTAAAGGACAAAGGTTTGGGGCAGACCCTTAGATTTGAGAAACAAAAGAAGTTCAGAGGAAAAAAAAAACAATGATGGAAAACATTTAAATCTCCACAAACAACTTGAGTTGGTTGGAAACTTTCTTTATTTTCCTATTTACACAAAACAAGTTGGAGGCCTACTTTGCTGCTTGGGCCTTAGAAAAATATGATTTTAGCCTGCTATTTTAAATATATCACTATTTTGTGAGAAGGGCACAAATCCTCTGGAATTGAACACCACAATACCCTGAAGGATCACCAGCTAAGTCTTACCTATACCTCAGACTTTCTTCATCACATCTGGTTGAAATGAGATTTTTTTTAAAAAAAAAAGTCTCTCCTGGAAAATGCTGAAGAGTCTTTCTCTGCAGGCTACAAGATTTGAATAGAAGACCCAGCGACTGGACCCCGGGCCATTGGCCTGATGGTGAGTGTTTTCTAGCTCAACAATTCCCTGAGAAAGAGCATCTTCCAGCCAGGCCTGTGCGGGGCTTCTCAGTTGCCTATTGCCTCTACTCAGAAAGCAATACCAGCTTCCCTGAGCCCTCTGGCTCCCAGTAGCTGTCAAGCAAACTTCAACACATAACTCAGAACGTTACTTGCTACGCACACAACCCACTTTTAAAATTTTTATAGTTATTATTATTGTTATTTTATTTATAGAGACGTGCTAAGGCTGTGAACTCTGCTATGGGCCCAGAAGTTCCGGGTTTCCTCGCTTTGCAGATCCCGGAACTTTGCAGGCGTCTGGAGATTCTCCTAGAGGTAGGAGGGGGGCCCCAGATCCCAGCTGGTGAGAAAGTTTGTCAACGCGAGTTTGGGGCGGACCCCTGGATTTGAGTATTCTGCGACCCAGAGACCCAATACTTCGCCTCTGTCCTTCTTCCCTCATCTGAGACGAATGCCTAAGATGCATGCAAGGTGGATGAGGTTTGGAGCACCTGGAGAGCTGAGAATCCCACGCCCAAGAGATGCTTCTAAGAAATGCACAGGGCTTCATTTAGACTCCTTTTAGACTCCGCAGCAGGATTCTTTCCCATATAAATTACTGAGGGCCATTACCTTGGCCCCTATTGGCATTGCTCCCTCAGCATGTCAGAGGGAATGGTTGTGGATGAGCAACAGCATGTAACAAAGAAATCCATCTCTTTGGGTCTTTATCAGAAAACATTTATTGTCAAGGGGCGATTCTTAAGAAAAATAATTCAATAATTTTTCTCACCCAGAATTTTGATAACACAGTATTTACACCTGTACAATATATACAGCATTTCTCCTAAGCAGCGCTCAAAGCGAAGAATAAACTAGCGGGGGGAGGGGTGTCAGAGCACCGGGGGGTGCTGGGGCGTGTGCAGGTTAAGGGCGTTAGGGTGGGCATGGCCTATCAGGTTGAGGTAATGCCGGTCGAGGCCCTGCACCGGTGTTAGGAAAGGGCTGTGCTGCTGCGCTGGGCTTGGGAGCGGCACGGGTGCGCTGGGCAGGTAAGGCAGCGCCGGGCTGCGAGCAGTGCCGTGTGGCCAGGGGAAAGGCCCCGGGGCAGCGCCCTGTGGGAACACAGTGGCCTCTCCCGGGCTGTGGCCTGCGAACTCAGGCCCCGCAGGGTGCAGTTGGTAAGAGAAATCTGGCTCCGGGAGCGAACTCAGCGGCGGGAAGGCCGGCTCCGCGCCCAGGCGGGCCTTGGACTGCAAAAAGGCTAGGATGCGCGCGTACTTGGTGTCTTTGGTCTCCATCCGCTCCACGGTGGTGAGGTAATGCACCAGGTTCTTCATGCACTCATGGTAGCCATAGTGGAAGTAGTTTGCAAACTCCGTTAGAAGTTCTGCTGAAGGGGCAAGAAAAATGGTAGCAAAGCGGGAGGTGGGGAGAATCCTAACCAGCTCCTTCCCTATCGCGGATTTAAGGAGGGTGCTGGCCATCTCCCACCACATATTCCAATCAGGGTTCTCATTTGAAGCGCGCGCTCTTCTCTTCACAGTTGAGAGACTGGAAACCTCGAGGTAAAGACCCCTTCCCCCCCCTCCCGCAGAGCCTGACCACACCCACCCACCTGAAAAAAAGGCGATGGAACCACCCTCTCTAGAAACCAGTTCTCCTTCACCGCCTCGCCGTTGCCCAAGCGGGACAGTTGCTTTAGCAAGACCCCCTTTTGTCCCTCTGCTCTGGCTACTTCCCTCTAGTAGATTTGTCTGGGAGGCTCCTTCACTCCCACTCCCAGCCCCCAGGTCTCAGTGTGGCGCAACCCTCCTGCCCAGATTTCCGGTTCCCTAACCCACGCCCACCTTTTTCCCTTCCCCGGGGAAAATCAGCAGAGTGTAGAGCTCTCAGGTATTGAACAGTCATCTCCAGGATCTCCGCCTTCTCCAGCTTCCCGGAACTCTGCAAAAGGAGAGGTTCCTTGAAGCAGCCCAGCGGTCTCAGGCCAACCCTAACCGACTGGGAGGGCACGGTTTTATCTGGAGCGGACTTGAGAGTAGAACGCTAAGGCGGATCTGCGTGAGAGCCGCATAAGGTTCAATCAGTGCTCAGTTCCCAGGTGAGCCAGGCCGGTACTCGAAGCGTCCACACACTTCTCCGCGGGGAGTGACAGTGGAGGGTTCTCAACGCCTAGCACCCGGCTCACGCTACAAACATTACCTGCTTTGCCAGGGCCATGGGCACGGTCTTGCCCAGCTCATTCAAGCAACGGTTGATTCGGTCCCTCCTCCGCTTTTCTATTACTTTATGAGAAACAGGGGTTCTCTGTGAACAGAGGTTTTTACATTTAGGATGTTATCCAAGACACCGCTGTAGTAGCTGTGGGCTCAGAGGTTCTCCCCAAGAAGGAAATCCTCCTCCGCCAACTAGGACCAAGGGAGCTCTGTCCCCTCCCGCCGGTGCTGGCGCATTCCACTTCCAAACACCCTACCCGCTCAGGTCACTGAGCCATGCCGAGCGTCAGGGCTTTGGAGAGGTGGCCACTAGCCTCTGGACTTGACCTTCTCCCCTCTTAAGGTTGAGGACTCTCCTTTCTTTATCTCCATCCCCTTCCCAAACCACTTAGGATTCCTCCACACGCAAAATCCCGTGTGGAAAAGTCTCCCATCGGTCTAGCCAGGTGTCTGGTGGGTGAGTCATACGCCTACACCACCAGGGCGCAACGACTCACTCTGCGTTCCTTGAGCTTGTCTGACATCCTGGTCAGTATGCGCCCTCGGGAGAGGCGGTGGCGCTAGGCACCCGTCCTTTTTCCACCTCGTGTGCCTCTTCCAGTGTCCCAGGTAGACTGCAGCCTTCCAACTCTGAGGGGCTGCCTTATAAAGCGGTCATCTAAAACTCCAAGTGCATTCACGAGTTGAATTATTCCATAGGATTAGGGGATCTGCGTTTGGAGGATGTATGCATTCAAGATCAGTTTTAAAGAAGTTAAGAAAAAAAATTAGCAACCGAGGGGGGTGAGCTGGGGGCAGATCAGCTTTGTTAATCCACGTGGCCCTTCAAAGGACACGTGATCGGCTGAGGAATAACATTTGCATGGCAACAGCCCGGGCGGGAAAAGGAGGCGGTAAACTGGAGCCGGCGGGCGAGCGAGCGCCTGCAGCAGCCTTGGGCGCGGAGCGCAGGGGCGCAGTGGCTGCGGGCACCGGGGGGCGAGGACCCTCACAAAACAGTGTCGCCTCCTTTAGTCCCACCGCTGAGTCTCACACGATCGCCTGTTTACAAATCCCAGCAAGCCCGCCGTCCCAGCGCCGAGTGCGTTTTAAAGCCTGTCCAGAGTCATTAAAGTAATTAAGTAAGCCTTTAATAGGCTGTTCCGCCGGGTTCAAGGGAGAGCTCTTGGAGACGGAGGCGCCCCGTTTGTTCCCAGGCTTTTCTCACACGACTTGGTGACACGTCCATCTCCCCCCTTTTTGTTTACACCGCTTTATTTGTCCGGACATCCCGGCAGGTGTGGGGCTGCGGCTGGCACACGAGGCTCCCGCCTCGCCTCGCCCCTCCCGCGGGTCTTTGGCACGCGACGCTCCCCCCCTACTCCCTGACCACATCGCTTGCTTTCTTTTCTCCCCCCCTCCAGCTCTCTCTTCGTGGGGGGAAGAGGCTCAATTTGTAGCCTATTATCCTATACGAAAATGTCCATTGAAAAGTATGAATAGTTTCATTGGGCTAAATTTTAATAATGCCAGGGGGTGAGGGAGGATAGGCAGGCGTGTGTGTGTGTGTGTGTGTGTGTGTGTGTGTGTGTGTGTGTGTGTATGTGAGAGGGAGGTGGGAGGATTGGGGGCAACACGGAGAAGAGTGGGCCGAGAAGAAAAGGGGGAATGCAGCTGGCCCAGGCGAGCATTATGCGACGTCACCTGCGTGAGGGGGCGCCTACAGACCCCTATTCATTTGCCTAATTTTGGTCAATTTAACAAACTTCAGGAGAAATTATTGTGGCTTTGTCAGGGAGGGTGAAGCCTTCTGATCGAATTAACAGCATGTTTTGATCCGGTAAATGTCATTAGAAAGGGAGAAACAATCGCGCTTAGAGGGCTCTGAGTAATGCGCCCAAGTGGAGACGCCAAAGCGCACGGCTCACAAAGGGAGCAAGTAGCTGCCACAGGGAACTTTTGTACCCGCCCATCGCCCAAGTTTTGACACAAAAAGGCATTATTTCATACTTGAATACGTTTAATCCAACGATTGTCTATTTTCTGCAAACATATTTTCACAGCATTGTTAACTTTTTATGTCCCCCTTTCGCGGGCGCCTTTTCTTAACGTTTGGGGGCGGGAGAGCGCAGACACTTTGGGCATCAATATTTGTCACTGAAAAGGGCCCCGTGAAGTTAGGGAAGTTGATCTCTTTTTTATGGTTTTAGAAAGCGAAAATATCGGGGGAGGAGGAGGGAGGGAAGACAGGAACAGAGACGAGGGAGGAAATTTGCTGGACGGGCCCAAAGGGAAGGAGGGGGGCGGCGGCGCCTGGGAACTCTCTTAGCCGTCTGCGCCTCTGCGGGCAGCCTGGTTGGGCTGCCCAAGACCTCCTCCCCCACCGACCCTCCTAGCTCACGTTAGCTGTCTTGGAACCCTCTGAAGCCTCCGGATTTGTCGGGTGTGGGTGGTGGGAGAGCTTTCTTGCAGATGGAAACAATAAAAACGATTTTTGTTTTACGACCGGCTCTAGAGCCTCCAATTTCTCACTTTTCATAATCTTTTCCATCTGGAAACTGCGAAGACTTCTCTTTAGACACCTTGTCCCTTCTTTTTGTCACCATCCTCGCCTAAATTCTCTCTACTTTGCTAGACAACGGCAGGGACGGGCTCTTCTTTTGGGTGGTTTTAGTCCCTGATAGAGGTGGGCAGGGCGGAGTCCTGCTGCCTGGTGGCACATAGAAAGCTCTAGGGCGCAGAGACAGGCCTGGGGTTCAGGGCCTCAGGAATCGAGCAGAAGCCTGGGAAGTGTGAGGGTCGGTCTGCATCACGCACCCTAGAGTGTCCCACTCTGCCTGGCTTCCAGCTTCTTTTCTATTTCACGCCAGAATGGACACGACCCGCACCCTCCTGCAGGTTGCTTTGCCAGCCGCGGGTGTCCCTTCAGAGGTTATCCATTTCAGCATATTCACTCGCACACAAAGGGATTAAACACGAACCCTTATCCAAATTAACTAACGTGAAAGGGTAAAAGAAGCGCGCACACTTCTCACACCCCGCCCCCCTTAGGCCCGCGGACTAGGAGTTGATCCTCTTACTGCTGGTGTTAACCACCAGCTGCAGGCACTTTCCACCAGCTAAATTTCTTTCCATGCGAACTGTGTAATTTTCTGGGTTTGATCGCGATGCTGGGCTCAAAGTTTGCCTCGGGTTAGAAGATTCCTGGAGCTGTTGAGTTTGTGGGTAGGATTGAGAGGATACAGATGGGGAGCCCTGGTGCGCATGCTCATCTTGCCCTTCTAGGTTGCAGAACCACCTGAAAGATGCTTCTTCCCATTCAGATTAGCCCCACGGATGTATTTCATTTCTCCATTCCTTGCCTGAAGGCCTGAATCACACTGTGTGTGTGTGTGTTGGAGAAGGTGGGTTCACGTGGTCTTCCCTCTGGGGATGATGATCAAGTCTTCTTGGATTTTGACTTAATTTTCACCCCCAAATGAGAGCAGAGTGATGAAGAACAGGGGTTGCTGGAGCAGAACAGCCAGTTCCATTCCAGCTCCATCACCTACCAACCAAACCAGACTTAAGTCTCTGTTGTGCCTCAATTTCCTACTCTGTAAAATGGGGTTAATAATTATGCTACTTTGATACAAGGTGGTCACTAGAATAAAGTAAGGAAGTACAGGCCAAGCATCTAAAAGAAGGCTCATCTCTTTGCCAGCTAATCTCTTCTGCAGTCATCTCCCTATGTTTACTAGTGTATTGTGGGTTTTGTGTTGTTTTATGATATTTTTAGTTAGTTCATATGTTTCTCTTCCCTAAGAAAGCTTTACCACCCTAAAGAAGCCATGGTGATTCCTCCTGAAATTTAAGTTGGCCCAAATTAGGCAAATGAGTGGGGGTATTTGAATGCCACTCTCACAGCTAGGGTTACCTACTGGTCACTTGCTAGTTGTGTCCTCCGAAAGTATATATGAAGCCAGAAAAAGCTCTAAGTGCAGAAGACCCTCAATGTCATAGCCATACTAAAATGCCTCAAACATTTGCATGGATGTCCAGTGCAAGCTAGGAAGGAGAGATGTCGGCCAAAGAACACATATTTACAGCTAAGGAGGAATAAACTCAAAGGATCTATTATTGTACAGCATGAAGACTATAGTTAAAGTTGATATATTCTTGAAAAATGATAGTGGAATGGATGGTAAGTATTTTCACATCACAAAAATAATGGCCATGTGAAGTAATACATATGTTATTAACTAAATATACCATCTCACAATCTCACAACCTATATACAGTTGCCCTCCATATCTGTTGTTTCTGCATCTGCAAATTCAACCAATTGGATTGAAATTATTAGGGAAAAATTGTGTCTGTACTGAACATGTCCAGACTTTTTTTTTTTTTTTGGCTTATTTTACCCTAAACAACATAGTAAAACAATCATTAAATAGCATGTTTATGGCATTATGTATTATAATCTAGTGATGATTTAAATTATAAGGAGGATTGTATATAGTTAATATGCTACATAAGGGGACTTAAACATCCATGGATTTTGGTATCTGAAGGGTCCTTGAACCAAACCCCTATAGACGGAGGGACAACTGTATGTTTCAACACTGCTTGCTATGATTTGGATTAGTGCCCCAAGTGTCCATGTGACTGGAGTTTTGGTCCCCACAGTGGTACTATTGGGAGGTGGTGGAACTCTTGAGAGATGGGGCCAGATGTGAGATCTTTGGGAATGTGTCCTCAGAAAGGATTAAGGTAGCTCTGGTGGAACCCCTTGGTAGTTCTAAAACCTTGAGCCTGGCCCCACACAGCCCTTTTTATTCCTGTATGGAGGTGTAATCTCTTCTCCTATATATGTTCCCATTTTGACATTTACTATCATGTCAACAGAGAGGTTCTTCATGAGAAATGAGTAGAGATGCAGGTACCAGGCTTTGGAACCTACATAAACCCTTTTTCTTTATAAAATTAACTGTCTCGGGTATTTTGTTATAGCAATGGAAAGCTGACTAATCTATTGTAATGGTAAAGTAAATCTGCTCTACCATGATAAATACATACAATTTTATTTCAATTTAAAAATCAACTTCAAAAAAGAACAGGAAGCAAGCCAACTTAGAAATTAAAAATTAAATATTCTTTGCTTAATCTCCTGACATCTAGAGACCTCTTTTGAAGAATACAGCAAGAATAAGTATAATGTTTTTAATTTTGTGATTTTATGTTTAAAATCTGGAATGTCCCCCAGAGTTCATGTGTCCCCAGTGCAGCAATATTCAGAGGTGACTGGGAGGTGATGGACCATGAAGTCTCTGATCTCATGGTCAGATTAATTAACGTTTTAATTCAAAGGTCAGTGGATTTAGGGGAAGAAGCTTTGTTATAAAACTCTCTTTTTGCTTCCTGGCCACTATGAGGTGAACAGATTTACTCTATTATGTGCTCCCACCATGACGTTCTGCCATATCACAGGCCTAAAATCGATGGAACCAGCCAACCATGGACTGAAACCAAGACCTAAAATAAGCTTCTTCCACCTTTGTTTTTTTCAGGTATTTTGTCACAGGTATGGAAAACTAATGGGCACACTTAACTACTATTTCTTTAATTTCATACATTTGACATGTAGCTTCCAAACTGAAAGATGGGTTCTTTGTGTTTCTTTCCAGTCTTATAAACTGAAGATTTATTGGTTTGGGAAAGGGGAAATGAATGGAAAGAAAAGTATGTTGTGGATATATGGAATTTTCAGACAAATTGCTCTAAGACATAGTGTTCTGGGTAATTTCAAATCCTTCCCTCCACCTCCCTTCTCCAATACACAGAGAAGACTTTCTAGATTCATCAATGACACTGGAGATTTAATCAAGTGAGAAAGTATAGGGAGTCTTGTCAGAGGGTGGGGAAAATGCAAATGTGGCTGATCCTAGCATACTTCCAAAGTACCAGTTAGACTCCTAAGCGGAACCCAACTCCTGGGTTCTGACAAGCAAGCAGGATCATTCACTCAGAAAAGGTGCTATGAAAGTATTGAATCCTTCAGCCCATTTTAGAGTTGAGGAGTCTGAATGGCAATAGGAGAAATGGGATGTCTGATAGCATGCAACAAGCCACTGTCACAAAACATTTCACCAAGGGTTGATTTGCAATGTGACCCCCAGGGTTGATGCCTCAGTTTACCCCTCTTTTTACTATGAAGGAGAGTCCAGTTAGACAGACCCCTGGAGTTTAGGGCTGATTCTGTAGGACACCCTGAGGCCTTCAGTATGTGTGAGCATTGATGAGAGGCATCACCATGTGCTGGAGCCTCCTTTACTTTGCTTCTACTTTCAGAAGCTCAGCAATGACAGCATGGCCTGAGCACCATGGCCTGAGCCGGGGTGGGGGAGGTGGGGGGTGTACCAAGTGCAGTACTTGCCCTCGGCAGGCTCATGCCTTAAGAAAGAACATATTTCATGGTCTGCCATAGTGCAGTTGCTCTAAGCACCCATTCTAGCAGCTTGCCATCAGGTGTCTCAAGGGGTCACTCAGAGAAGAGTCTTCTCTGGACTTTTCTTACTCAGCATCCCTGATTCCTCTGCTCCCTCGGGTAACCAAGAGTATTCCCAACCCAACAGTGACATTAATGAGAAGTATCTGGTAGGATTAGTGTTGTCATTGCAGTCAGGTAAAGGCAAGAGGGACCCAGGAGAAACAGATCTGTCTCCTACTCTAAGGACACACAGTGGAGGAGTCTATTAAATCTCAAACCTGAAAGGGACCAGGGACTTGGGAAGTCTGTTATCTGTAATAGAATGATTTCCCAGAGATTTTATCTTTGTTCCCTTTGTTCTTGTCTCTGAAGCAGTTCAGTTTTTCAATTTTGAGCTCTTTCTGAAGGTTTAGTACTTGGGGGGAGGTGGGTTGCTCTGTAAGGTCACAGCACCAAAACCATCAGTACCACCAGCTGTCGCAGGGTTCAGATGGGTGTAGCTTCTCTTGCTGAAGACACACCTTCAGAATTGCATGGCCTCAGATTTTTTTTCTTTTGCAAAATTTTCAATAATTTTTCATTACTGGGGATTAAACCAGGCCACATATGCTAGGCAAGTGCTCTATCACTGAGCTACATCCCCAGCCCACTTTTGTTTTGCTTTAAATAAAAACTAAGTGTTCTGATTCCTTACTATTAAACATGTGGTCTTTCAACCTGCAGTTGTCATTGTCACCACCAGGCCCCTCGTTAGAAATGCAGATTCTCAGGTTCTGCCCCTCATCTGAATCATAATCTGTATTTGAAGGGCATTTCCAATTGATTTGTGTGTACTTAAAAGTCTGAGAGGCAGTGCTTTATCTGAAGTTGGAGGCCACCATTTAACGGATGACTACCTGATGAGCAGATCCCAGGTAGGACTAGCCACTTCAGGAAGGACAACTGGAGAGCAAAAGTGGTGGCAACTTCCAGGCTGGAAGTAACTATGTAGATTAAAAGACTTCCTATGATGGACATGATTTTTGTAGTTTGAATATTCCACAGAGTATTTGTAGAACTTCCAAGAAGTAGTGTCTTCTACATGCAATGATATATTTCATGCATGTATCTCCAGGGGTTGGTTGAAAGTAGTAGAGGCTCAATATACTTTTGCTGAATGGGATAAAAATGGGGAGAAGAAATTTGAGGATTATTTTAGCATCAGTGCTGGAGCTAATTCTATAGGCAATATCTCACTTGGTCCTATTTTACGATTTATCTTCGAACTCTTAAAGCACTAAGTGACTACAGTATAAATATAATTATTAAGAAAGAATACTGGGGCTGGGGTTGTGGCTCAGCAGTAGAGCGCTCGCCTAGCATGGTTCGAGGCCCTGGGTTCAATCCTCAGTACCACATAAAAATAAATGAGTAAAATAAAGGTATTGTGTCCAACTATAACAAAAAATAAAAAA